TTCTGCCACTGTGTCGTGCTGCTCTTTCCCTTGGCTTGTCGGAGTGCTTGGAGCTTCCAGGAACTTAAATGTGGCTTTTTTTGTGACTCTTTTCCTGACATGGGTCTTGCAGCCAAGGTAGGGGGTCTAATGCATGGCTCGTGTGGCTCCGAGCAGGAGCTTGGGCCAAGTGACCTCCTGCAAGCCCTTCCACCCTGAATATCCCTATGAGCCTAAATTAGGTATTTTTTTTTTGCATAACGCTTTAATTTCTCTTGACAGCACTCTCCAATTTAAAAGATTTGTTGCTTAGCCATCTCCACCGGCCCCATCTGCCCCTTCCTTAATCGCAGTGCAGTCACCATGATTTCACATCAGCCTGATGCCGTACCGCGGGCAAGAGGGAAGAGCGGCCGGGGAGGAAGAGCGGCGGGCGCCGAGGAAGCGCCCACCCTCCCCACGGCCCGCTGGAACAATTGCGCTCGCTGCGCGTCCTAATGGGGAAATTGCTCTTTAATGTAATCCTCATTATCCAGGGCTAAACAGGAAGCGGGGGAGGTTTGTAGGGAGTGTGCGGCCAGCGAATTGGAGCCGAACGTTGGGCTCGGCCCGGAGAAGGTTTTTGCTCAGGGGAAACGTTCAAGAAACCCGTAACTGTTTTGTCCCTAACGTGTTTCGTCTCTAACCGTGGAGGAAAGCTGGCGTGTTGAAGCAAGGCCGCGTCCTTGTTCTCAAGGGAAGCTGGCTCAGCCCAAATGCTTTTCAAAGCCTGATATTAAAGGTGTGAATGGTTTCGACTTAAGGTGTTAATTTGTGACTTTCTGCAGCGTGTGAAATGCTCTCAAATATGACAGCGTGTTCTTAACTATGCCAGAGTGACCTGGTGCTGAGCCGGGGAGCTGCAGAGCCGGGGAAGCCGAGCAGAGCCCCCCAGCCGCACCAGGCGGCAGCGGATGGACTTCCAAGTATTTTATTCATAAAATAATTAACTCCACAAGCAACACGGCTTTCTTTTCCTTGGAGAGCAGCTTGGCATTAACCGTCGGAGGCTTCTGGGATTAGCTGAGCCCCATTGGAATCTTTCATGTACTTTACCTGCCCTCCCTGCAGCATGCAGGTCCCTTTGGATCCATTTGGTTCCTCCCGATGTTGCTGCTTGTTTTGCAGTAAACACAGCTGGTTCTGCTGCGTTTCTTCGGCCCTTTGCAGAGCTGGGGGAATAGCGTCAATGTGCGTAAATAACCAGGAAGGTCTTTCAGAACTGCGGGGTGCGTTGGGTTTCGAAGAGCAGTGCTCTTGGCTTGCGCTCACTGCTCGCTCTTCCTTCCGCCTCCTCCTCCTCCCTTCAAAAGGCAGCGAGCAGAGCTGCTTTATAGGTTACAGACTTTGAACCTTTTTAAGCTCCAAGGCGATACTGCGCCGGCTGTGTTACCATGTGCACTGGCTTCTGCGCTTCCCTTGTTGCCGTGAAATCCTTGTGTTTAATGATAAATACGAGCCCCAGCCTTTACCCTCCTGCGAATACAGCCGAGTGCTTGATGCAACAGAGTTTATGTAAGCAGCTCCAGGGGAGCAGTGGTCTGGAATGAGTCAGCCTGGTGGGAATTCACGGTTGCTCAAGGAACAGGCAAATCTTTCCCTCTCCGACTTGCCCTTCTTTGTTCCCGAGTGAGGCACTAGCGTGCGGCTTGGGCGCATGCACGGGGCGGGTTGGGCCCTTCAAAGGGAGCCTCGGATCGGGCTTGTTCCGCCGGGCGCCTGGGAGGGTGGGATGAGGTCAGTCCTGCTCCTGTGCTCTGTGCCCACCCGCCTCCCTTCCCTGGGCCGTGCCCCTGCTGCACCCGCCGTGCTCGCTGCTGCTCTGCAGGGTGCCCGCGGAGCCTGGAGACCCTTCTGCTCCTCAGCTGCAAGGGGAGATGCTCTGTGGACAAGACCCAAGGGCAGATGCAGACCCAAGGGCCGGCATGAGGTTTGCAGCTGAGCCAACTGTTTGGCACTGCCTGCTGGGCTGAGCGAGCCCAAAGGACAAGCACGGGCTTGAGCTGCTCGCAACCCGAGACAGCGTGTTGCCCAGGCCAGGCAAAGAGGGGAGCTGCAGACTGCATCGAGCCCTTCAAATTGACTAAGGAAGCACTTTGGCAGCAACTGGATGAGCGTTTGGGGTGCACAGGGCCTCCCAGCAGCAGCGCTGCCGCGCGCTGAGCAGGTTCCCTCTCCTTGGTGGCTCCGTGGGCAGCGGCTGGTGCTCGGGCAGGTTGTGCGCGGCGGGTGCGTCCCGCGCTCGGCATCCCGCGCTCGGGCCAGCCCTGTCAGCAGCGCTAGGACTATGTGCACAGCAGAGCGGACGTGAGCATTGCTTGGGGGCACGGGGCTGCTGCTTGCATTAGGCGCGTCCCCATCGGGAAGCTGCAGCTCCTGTCGGAGCAGCAGGCACGGCCGGGAGCGCACACTGAGTCACATCCTGCAAGTGCTGGCGGCCCCTCCGAGACCCCT